CAACGTCCTTTATCTGAGTCAGACTCAGAACCGAGAGGTACCTCGTTCAAGACCCCGTCAGATTACTAGCTCTTCTTTCTCCTGAATTTGATTACGGAGTATCATTTCGTGAGGAGGAAACAGGAAACATTATAGTGGTAGATGCGCTGTAGATACGACATTTAAGAAGATTAAGGCATTCCCGGATGACATGGAGACGAATATTCGCGATCAAAAGAAGGGTAAGAAAGACCGCCTTCCAAGCGGTTACAAAATTCCCGTTTTTTCTTTTCCTGCAATCCGGCCACTTAAGAGACCCATTCATTTCTACGCTGGAGATCACCAGTATTCGTCTTTCCATGAATGGCTTAGTTAGAAACAATCCTTCACTGCCATAAACTAGTGCATGCAGTACGATGATGCTGAACTGCTTATCACTGAGTTTGAGATCGAGCTGTCTTCCTAAATCTCACACTAACTATATCAACTACTTACTAGCAGGGCCTTCTTTCTACTCCAAAAAATCTCTTCTCCCGTCATTCTACGCGCGGCTTGTCCTGTCACATGCAGAATTAGCTGATGACCATCTTAATCTTTTCTTTTCCGATAAATTCTCGACCACTTGCGAGAAAAGTAAGTAAAAAAGACTAATTTTCCACTTTTTCAAAGCCAACAATTTAGGATACCTTTTAGTCAGAGAAATTCATGTTTCGCCTATACTAACGAACCCAGGAATTTACAAAAAAAAGCGATTTCCGAATTTACCTTCTCATTTGTTTTTTTCTCTTTCATAGGAGGGGGTAGAGGTTCCTGCTTCTTTTCGTCTCGAATTTCAGCCTGTAAAACAATTGTTGTTAATAAATATTGCGACAGTCGAGCATTCACCACTTGAACACACCTTTTCATTAACGATTACTCTATTTTGGGATGACAGCTTTCCCTGAAGTTCAGCTACCTCACTGCGTAGTTTCATGTTATCCTCCTGAAACAGACAAAATCAACAAATTCTATCTCAACAGTTACAGAATTTTAATAGGTTCGTTTGCTGGAAGAAGAAACGAAAGTTCAGAATTTCATAATGAAAATAAAGAAGATAGAATGATTAATTTCGAGTTGACTTCGAGAGTGAACAGAGAGTTACACTTTAAAATATCGCTCAACAAACCATCCATATAATAACATCTTTGCAACACCAAACGAGATAGGTTGATATCGATAAGAAGACGATTAAACTTCGTTATCGTAACAGCCATTTTCGTAATGTCCCTCCATCCTCGCACAACCTCAGGGCAACTTGCTCAAATGAATATGCAGTGAATTTCTCACCTGGACAAGGTGTGATCAAAAAACGATATAGGCTCTGATTAAGAGAAAAATGAAGTAGAAAAGTAGAAATATTATAAAGTTATGGAGAAAGGCAATGAAGCAATACTCAGTGACAAGATAAATTCGCCGGAAGTTTGAGGCACAGAGGCGCGCAGAGTAGGTAGAAAAGCGTATGAAACGCCTTCACCAAGCAACATAATGATATAAGCTGATAAGAGTGAAGCAACATTAGCGGAATTCGTTTCGTCATTGCTGGTGGTTCCACCGCCAGCAATCAATCTCACGAATGAAATGCTATAAATGACTCAACAAAACAAATATAACGAATGACTTCTACAAGACCAGATGTCACAACGTGTTGCATCGCCCAACTGTCTCAATGCCCCTATTTGTCTGAAGGGGGTATTTAAGCAGGAGACGGCATCACAGTATTTGAGTATCTGCAGTGCCAGCAAGGGAAGAGTGCAATACATCATGAAATCTGGTCTTGCAGGAGTGATGTTGGCATTGTTTAGCATACTCTGGCGTACGAACAACTTAAGACAAAAGACGAAAGAAAATCAAAAATAATGAAGATGCTGGTAAAATCAGTAGGGTCGTCTTAGATCTGGATGCATGAAAAAGGATTTGACAGAGAGACCTCAGTGAAACCTTTCAAGCAGGCTGATGAAACTGAAGCTTAGCATAATTGACAGCTGCTCTGCTACCTCATGGTAGTATGCTATATGATCCCTACTATTACGCAGAGCATCCTATTTCCTAACTGCGAAACTGGAAATAGGAAAGGTTAGGAATTTACCCTCTCATCCATTTAAAGGAAGGAGAAACTAACTCGTTCGTGCGTTGGTGATCATATTGAAAAAATAGCGTAAAACATGTTTACTTACACAGCGCAAAAGATACTGTGGTCAGTTCAGTGACTGACAGCTTTACGGGCCTTCTTCAAGGTAGGTTAAATGGGAAGTTTCGTGAATGTGGTCAGTCGTCCGCAGCAGTTGATAGTTTCGGAGCCAGAAAGCCTTCTGGACGACCAACCACATTCGCCAAACCTTCAGGAGTAATCTCTTAGCCAGGTCCTTAACTATCACAAGTCGAAAGTAAAATAATCAGGTAGCCATCTGGTACATCAAATATACAACTGGAACAGGAAGGTAAAGCAGGAAGTAAACAAGCTTAAGAATTTCGATTCCACCATTTCCATCGAGTGCACCTGCCCATCAGACCAGAAGGACAGCCCCAACCTTGAATGATTTCAACATCGTCTCCGAAATTCAGGCTCAGAAATCACTAAAACACTGTCCAATATCCTGCTCTATTAAGTCAATGTTGTTATACGACATAGGATCAGTTGTTCTAACGAAGGAGCAAGAACGATGGTTCAACCGCTTTCAGCAGCATTGGCTTCGACGCATAACGAAGGTTAAATGACAAGGCCTCGTAAGCAATGACTCTATACTCTTCCGGACAGGTAACCTCAGCAGATGTGGCATTTGAGAAAAGGAGGCGACCCTATTAGACAAACTGGATGAGCACAAACCACTGACTCCAGCCCATGAGCGTTTTATTTGTGAGCCAAAACTCAGCAGAATGGAGGCCAACATGCAAGATGGAAGAAAGTAAAAATGAACAGCGTGAATGAACAAGTTGTTCGTTCAGAAATGAACTGTTTTCTTTTATACAATGTAGTAACCGGTGTGACCTCAAAGTAAAAACGTCCAAAGCCGAAAATGCAACGGACAGCAACAACCACGAAAGCTTTTGCTAACGTGAATAAACAGCAGCCATCCGGATCATAAGGCATTTCAGACTGAAGGTTAGGAAGACATACAAAACGTAACCTTAAGTGACTCCATCTGCTTGACGAGTTTCGCGTTTTCGTCACGTGCAAGTTGCAGATCGTCGTTCAGCTTCTTCGCCTTCTCATGGTCAGCCTGTTTGCCGCCGCGCAACCCTTCCACATCTTTCTGCAATGCGTCATTCTGAATCTCAGCTTCACGAAGCTGACCCTAAACATCGTTGGTATAAGAAAAGAGGGCGACTGAGTCGCTCGACCACTCAACGCCTACCTGGACTGTATCGTGCTTCTTCTGTACCACCCCTAGCTTCTTGGACAAGTCTAAAAGCCGGAAGCAATGTGAAACTAGTTTGCAGCACAAGTGACAACAACAACAACAAATGAAACACAACGTGCGACATGAAAAACGACAATCATCATCCGTCCGTCCGTCACTCAATCAGTAAGCAAAACTTATGTGTTCAATCTGACCAGCAACAACAAACACAACAGTGCAGCCGACAACGTTAGTCTGCCGAACACGGCTCATGGACTAGGACTAGCGACAGTCAATTTTGTGATCTCAGATTAAAGATTTTGGTTATGTTCGTTAAGACCGCAATACAACAGCTTTCAGAGAAATGGAAGCATCTTTCTAGATTATACAAATTTTTAATTAGCAGTGGCGAAAACAGCGCCATGTCATAAAGTAATATAATATGCAATGCTATAAATATACTGCAATAGATTTAAATAGTTTGCATGAACTGTATTTTTTGCGCCACTCGTAAAAAACGCTAAAGAAAGCAAGAGATCTGAGGAAGTGGGAGCTACGTTTGTGACGCGCTTATGCATACACGGTCCCGTCAGGAAGGGTCATACATCGATTAACATACTCCGTGGTACGATCCTATATTTAGATGTTAAAGCGATAGCATAAAAGGAGAATTTACATTTGAAATGCCATTCGCGACCGCCATGACGCCACTCTAGTGAACAAAATGATGGAGATGTATCGGACACTGAA